AGTGCCCTCTTCCATCCTAAATACAAAGACTCATGTGAGACACTTGAACAAAGCAATGAACCCCCTAAAATCATTTTCCCACTAAGCTAGCAGTGTGTTCACGATGTTAAATGCAGAGCATAAATTCAGAGTGTAGGACACATCATACTTGGCCACATATGATAGCTTTTCCTTTCCTTTACTAATTTGCCGAAAACTAAAAAGTAGCATTTTCCTGTGAGTTGTGAGCTGATATTTTAAGATATTTAAGTCTGGCACATTTTCTTCAGTCACAGGGCACTGGAAGGTGTGGTAAAAAGTTTTAGGGCTCACACAAAAAGTTAAAAAAATAAAAGATGACCGAATTTCATTTTTTGAGTGAACTATCTCTTTAAGAATAATCCAAAACTCATGTTGGTGTGGTGGTGTGTTTGTTTGTGAGAATGCTTTGAGAGGACCTTGAGATGGGCTAAATAATTTAGCTAAGGGGAGAGATAATTAACGAGGGCAGAGATAGACATTTGGCAGAGTGTGGCTCTGTGTGTGTGTTTGTGTGTGGCCCAGGTGGAAAAGAGGGAATCTCATCTTAAAGACATGAATGATTTAACACAAGAGGAGATCACTGGAATGACAATCTATGCAATACAGCATGCCATACACTGCCTAAGCTTACTCTCCTCATCTTCTCACTTTCTCCATCTCGTTCTCCACTTAATGGAAGATATGTTGAATACCAGAGCAGTCTGGTTTATGGCCCACAGCACATGAGCTATTATATATACAGTAATATTACATTTTAGTGTGGGTAGCAATGGTTCTCTCTGCAAGAGTAAGTGCTTGCCTACTTATTGCTCAGATCTGAATGTTTTGGGGCTGTTCATAATTTTAAATGTGGCCTGTTTCACATTCATGTGTGAACTGATTCTAGTCATGAACTGATCCGCATTCACAAATCAATGATAACACGAACACATTTACATTTAGTCATTTAGCAGACGCATTTGTTCAAAGTGACATACAATTGAGGAAGCATTCTGCAATTCTATATGAAGATGCAATACACAAGAAGTGCTAATTATGAAAAGAAACTGTTTGTGCTCAGAGAATTTAGTACCAGAGTAGGGGGAGGGGGGAGTTTTTTGAGAAAGAGAGAGAGATTATAAAAGTGGTCTGTCAAGTCCACTCACCTGTGTAAAGTACACTTCACAAATGCACAAAGTTTATTATTATTATTTAATTATTTTTTTAAAAATATGGAGTGATTGAAAAATGTGTCTGATGCAAATGTCCAAAAAACTGTTGCAAGTGTTGGTTGAAGTGTCAAAGAGATATAAGATTGTGTTTTCTACACTACGCCCACTCACCTGTGTGAGGTACACTCATAATTATTAATTTAATATTAATGGAATAGTATAATTAAATTGAGAATATTAATAAAAGTTATAATAATAACAGTTTATAACATACAGCATGCTGTCATTTTAAAACTAAACACCGTAAGCATTTGTTTACTTTCAATATTGTTAATATTTATTGTACAACCCTTTAGGTTTAGGTTGTATAGAGCTGTCACATAAATAACTCACTTATTCAACTGCGCAGTGCAAGTGCGCAACTGTCATATATATATATATATATATGTAAAATGTAATATATGCAAAAGCTTAGAGTGGCATTGCAAAACATCTAATCTGTATTTGAGCTGTATAATAACTCACTTATTCAACTGCGCAGTGCAAGTGCGCAACTGTCATATACAGTATATATATATATATATATATATATATATATATATATATATATGTAAAATGTAATATATGCAAAAGCTTAGAGTGGCATTGCAAAACATCTAATCTGTATTTGAGCTGTACTGTATCTGTACCTGAATTTAAGACCACCATCAGAATGATTCCATGATGTTTTTGTCTGTTTACACTTTTGTCATGAAAAAACATAAATGATCTGTCACAATATTAATATAATAATTTTATAATATTCATTTTCCTTCGGCTTAGTCACTTTATTTATCAGAAGTCGCCACGACGAATGAACCGGCAACTTATCCTGCATATGTTTGACACAGCAGGTGCCCTTCCAGCTGCAACCCAGTACTGGGACACATCCATACACTCATTCACACATACACTACAGCCAAGTTAGCTTATTCAATTCACCTATACCGCATGTCTTTGGACTGTGGGGGCAACCGGAGCACCCAGAGGAAACCCATGCAAACACGGATGTAACGCGGGAACATGCAAACTCAATCACAGAAATCTAGCGACCAGCGACCTTCTAGCTGTAAGACAACAGTGCTAACCACTGAGCCACCGTGTCGCCCCTTTATTATATTTATTCATGATGTTATTATTATTACTGTATTGTTTTGCTTTAGATTCTATATTGATCATCACCATTTTTCCTCTCGCTTTTTTGATGAATTCATTGGCTCAAAATGTGAATCCACTGAGATTACCTTTGCATGCAGAGCTTGAGCATTTGAATCAATAACCATAGCTATGTAGTTTCATATGCTGTTGAAAATAACATTTGAACCTCTAGTATTTTACAGATGCACTCATCTGACCACAAATCTGTGGATTCACTAATCATTTATCTTTTGTTCTGGATTATGTATGATAAACAGGCAAAGGGCATTAATTCAGGTTCTATGTCATGTTAATGACAGTGTGATGAAGGGAAGCTGACAGGTTGCTCCAGACTCATTAAAGGGTTTTCATCACTTGCTGTCATATGTGTCTGTCACAAAGAGCTAAAAGTTCCAGAAAACCTTGTATGTGTGCATGAAAAGATGGAGACAGTGTGTATGTAAACATATGTTGCCAGGGGAATTTTTATATCTCTTTGAATAATCCCCGCTTTTTGTTCCACTACTAAAAATCAAAACTGAGCGGTTGAGTTGAGAGCGCCTGAATCCCAGATCCGTGTCATGTTTCACCAGATGGAGAGGTTTTTTCTCTCCTTACTTTTTCATTTATTCTAAATCCACGGGTCCTGTGAGGACTGTCTCCAGCTGTTGCATTTCGTTCCACTCCAGAGAGACACAAAGAGAGAGCATTTGCTTGTTTGTGTGATGTACAATTGTCCTTTTCCATCGAGGTGCTGTTACCTATAGCTATTTGTGATTGGTGACATTTGTCGAATAGACTGCTTTAATTCAGGAACATGTCAGATTTAACTCATTCTGATATGCTTTGAAATTATATACTCTTTGTTATACCTTTTAAGTCCTCTTTGTCTTTTTATTTATTTTAAATGTATTTTCTTATTGGCAAACATCTTCAGCAAGATTTAGAGTGATAGGCTGAGAAAATGACTGCTGAATAATTCAGGAGCTGTCTTACTGGATCCTATTTGAATGCTAAATGTATTCCTTAATCCTGCCTTGGCAAATCTAATATTTGTTTGCAATTACCATCAAATCAGATGCTTGTTTTTAATACACTTCATTCATGTCTGACCTTTGTCTATGTAAAGTACCTCTAAAAACTTAGCAAACGGTGAATCAAAAAATGATTCAGATGCTAAATGTGGAAGTCTTCCCAAACTCCCTTTACACTAGCTTTCACTTAATTATATAAAAACTACATGAAGTATTTTATTTTAAATTCATGTACATTGCTCTTTGGAATACCTGATTCTGATAGGTCAGTTACAACATCCTAAATTGTGCTATTCCCTGATAATAACCAGCAAACACTTATATATCAGGCTCAGCTGGGCAACATGGGTCATTAGGGTCATCAGGGCTCACATTTTACCAATGTCTGTGTTTTCTTTGATCGAATCTGTGACTAAACCTGTTGCACTATTGTACTGCGATGTTCTACCAATCAAAGTACATGAATCCCACATTGTTACACTAATTGAATTGTGTCTAAATCATGGTAGTTTTTTTATTAATCACTCCTTTGCGTGGTACTGTATTTCAGGAAAGACACAAACAACCTACACCGTCATATAAGTTGGAGTTTTTATGAAAGATTTGTGTTTTATATGATGAAAAGCAGTGTAATTTCTCCAATGCCTTTAATGTGCATTTAGTTTTTTCTTGCTAATTGTTAGCAGCTACATTCAGTGAGATTCTAAAATACTTCAACTCAATTAAATATTTTGCCTCCAATTATTTAAGTAGTAAGTAGTCATGCAATAAGTGGAATAATGCACATCCATCCAGATGATATCGCAAAACAAACCCCTTCAGCAAATGCAAATTTGCTTTTCAGCAGCATGTTTGTAACTCGGAATTTAAAATGGAATTTTGCCAAATGGAATTTAAAAACATTCTCAGTTCCTTCCTCTAAGAGTCTTTTTGGCCCCGTTTGCAATGCGACCCAATTCCGATTTTGTGACACAGATCGGATCTGTTCTATGACCATGTAAAGACGGAAATTTGGATTCGGATATTCAGAGATTGGTTTCAGGCCTCCCTGATATGCGAAAATAAATCAAATATAAATCGGATTTGTGACAATGCGACTATCATGTAAACAGGCAGATCAAATTTATTGAGGCATTCCATTTTGTACGTCAATAAACTTGCGACAATGTGGTATTTCTTGACGGTTTAATAAAGTAGAAGGAAGAGTGTGTATGTGCTTGACCTAAAATTTCAGACCCACTGCTTCTCATCAATGCCCACAAGAATTTGCTCCCACCAGACTTGAGATCTCTCCCGTACCCACAAATTCCTCTGAATGGTGGAGGACACCATATATAAACCATAGGCACAAGCTGCAATGGCAGTCCTTTCCCTCTGACTCAAAATAATTTCTTCCATCGTGACTAGTGTGGCGCAGATGCTAGAACCCACCTTTATGCATGTGCAATGTCGTAAACTGTATTGCAATTGTTAACACATAAATCAGATATGAGTCAAAATTAAAGGAATGTGTAAAACGACAGGCTGAAAATAAATCAGATATACTCAACAAATCGGAATTGGGCATCAGGACCTGCAGTGTAAACGTGACCTTTGTTTACACACAGAGATCTCCTACCTGTCCATTTTTCTTGAGGTCGGCCCACATGCTCGTTCCATCTCCACCCCTCATGAGCACGTGATAAGTGAAGAAGTAGATTCCAGGAAGAGGGCAGGTGAACTTGCCTGTGGTAGGCTCATAGTAATTCCCAACATTTGTCACCACATCATCAAACTTGAGTACCTCGGTCCCCTCATGTTGCTTGCGCAGACCAGCATAGAAGGCTATTTTGGGGCTGTAGAAGGATGGGATGTATCCCCCAGGGCCTGGACCTGGAGGTCCAGGTGGACCTGGTTTTCCTGGTTCTCCAGGTGGCCCACGTGGACCGGGGGGACCTGGTAGGCCTTGGTTTCCACGAAAACCAGACTTGGCTCCTCCTTTGCGTCCAGGGATGTCGCGAGGAGGAGGTGAAACAGGCGTTAGTTCATTAGTGGGTGTTAAAGAGTCACAGACCATCTTGCAGCTGCCAAGCATTTCATAATGTGTACCTCCACCACCAGAACCACCCAGTTTGGTGCTGTGGACCAATAGTGGAATAGTGACCAGTAGCACCAGCACCATGGCCACACCCACTGCCGCGCCAATAACGCGCTTCCTGCGGCTGAGGCGTGAGGCAGCGATAGAGAGGAAGTCCTCCTCTCCTTTAGAAGAAACAGGCCCGGCCAGAATGATCTCTGGGAAGGAAAAAGGACTACGGTGAAATAGAAACTCTTAACGAGAGAATACAATGTGAGAAAATGCTGGCTGTATCTTAGAATTGTTTTTCCATCCAGCAACAACTCCAGCAACAAAGTAGATATCCGTCATGGAATAAAGGTTGCTTCATTTGCTTTAAAAGGTTCAATTTCTCTTTTTTTTGCTCTGCTTTACTACATTAAATCACAACAGGCAGCCCTCTAACCCCTATTCGCTCTTGTGAGTGACGCCCAGTTATCGCTCCATATAAACAGCAATTCTGGATGATCCAGTGGGTTTATATTGTCATATAAATATATATTGCTTGTCTGATATAAGCAACATGTGGGATTTGGGGTCTCCAAATTTTCGCCCGTGGATGGAGATTCTATCAGGTGATGTTGAGGTGTATTTCTCAGGGGTTGCTGTGCGACGGTGACGTCTCCCTAAAGATTAATGAAGAGACAGCGGTGTGGCTTAAGCCTCCATGAGAAGTTCAAGAAGCGTTCAGGAAAATTTCCAGAAAAGTCCATGTCCACTGCAGCATTTAAACAAACTGCCCCTCCTCTCACAGAAGAAAGCTGTGGTTGTGATTCAAAATGATGGAAAGCAATCCACGTTATAAACAATTTTCTCCTTTCATGACAGTCTTAAACCTTCAATCGTTCGGTTTAAGCAGTTGGCTTGTAAACGTCCTGTAACCCTGATGGTAAATAGATGGCGAGATACACAATGATATTAAAGCAAGCTCACACAGCACTCTAGGTGATTTTCAATCCCTGCTGGTCTTCATCAAACTTCAGGTCCCAAGATCAATCTCCTCTGGCATCTTGACATGTGACTGACTGAGTTTTTAAATTGGCAAAACTGTAAAACCTACAACACATAAAGAGCAACAGATATTTGAATGCTTAGTAAGAGTTATTTTTTATTTTTTTAGTGATAAGCAAAAAATAAAAAATTAGATAAAATAAAAGAATAAAAAAAGATTTCTCTTCCCCAATACTCAAACGCAATATATATTTTAATCGACATTACTCATTTACTGAATTTATTAAATTAATCATCACAGTTTGCTTATACTTTACCTCTCCAAAACTACAAATTGTATATAACAGTTCCTCATTTAACTAATATTAAACTAGCCTATTTGCTATCATACATGCACTGTAACTTTTCTAGCCTCTTTACAGCTGCTCTTTACATCAAAATGGATGTTTCATATACTTTTCTCAGTTCTGGTAGCAGTTAAAAAATACATGCATTAAGACAGTTAATTAAAAGTTTATCTAACATGTCTGAGCAACAAACCAGAACAGTAAAACAATCGTGCCTACCTGATAAGTTCCCAGAGAATGTGAAAATTGATGAGTAACTCCGGTCGACAGCGCAGCTCCTCTCGCGTGCGCGCTCAGCTCAGAGTCTGTCAGAGAAACTCGCGCCTTCGGGTTTTTCTTTAACGGTCACTCTTGCTCTGACTGTTGTCAGCTTGATAAATCTCCGGGTTTCTCCTTTTGCTGCTTCTTCGCCGCCTTTCCCGCTTTTTTAACACAGTTCACTTTCAGCTCGCCTACTTCAGGCGTATAATATCTTTATGAAACTACTACTACCTCTTGTAAAAGATTCGCTAGTAAGTAAATTACTATTTAAATTTCGTATGTTCCAATCTCTTTCTTAAGAAATCACCAAGAAGCAACAGTTTCTCACTTGTTCGATTTCTGTGAGGAAAGGGCGCTTCCACCCGCGGGAAGCCTGTCGCGCGCTCCCGCCCTCCGCACAATTACGCGCGCGCGCTCACTCACACCGGTCTCCGCAGATCAAGAAATCGATTTCCCGAGGAGATGTGCATCCTAATAGGGTTGCTGTCTACCCAATTAGTACTTATAAAAATAAGTCAGGTTGTACTGGTATGCTGTCATTATAGCAGGAGAAAGAGAGAGATGATTGGAGGAAGAAATACCCATAAGACCCTCTAAATAAAGCTGTATTTAACGCATGGTCTATATTGGAAAAAAACCGAGCACTGTATATTTCATGACATAATAGTATATTTCAGATGAGCAGATACAATTCACCTTAACTAAAATCTTACCTTAAACATAATTTGTAGCAGCAAAACATTAATGTCAAGTGGAAACAATTTGTCTCCATATTTCTACCTTTTCTATTTATTTATTTATTTATTCATTCATTCATTCATTCATTTATTTATTTATTTAGATCTATTAAGGCTATACTGTCACTTTTTGGGTTTTAACATTAAAGTAGGTTAAGAGATAGTTCAGCAAGTGTCATTCTATGTTCTCTTGAACACAAAAGGAGATATTTTGAAGAATGTTGGTAATAGGTGTTGCCACTAACATAGTAAAAATGCTATAAAAATCAATGGCAAAATCAATGGCAATGAAAAGACAATGACAATATTATTAACATAGCACAATTTGAACAACTGGCAGCATGGTGGTGCAGAGGGTAGCGCTTGTCTCACAGCAAGAAGGTCGCTGGTTCGAGCCTTGGCTGGGTCAGTTGGGATTTCTGTGTAGAGTTTGCTCCGGGTGCTCCGGTTTCCCCCACAAGTCCAAAGACATGCCCTATAAGTGAAATGGGTAAGCTAAATTGTCCGTATAGTGTATGTGTGTGAAGGGAAGTGTATGGGTGTTTCCCAGTAATGGGTTGTAACTGGAAGGTCATCCGCTGCGTAAAACATATGATGGATAAGTTGCCGGTTCATTCTGCTATGGTGACCCCAGACTAATAAAGGGACTAAGCCGAAAAGAATGAATGAATTTATTTATAATAGGCATCCTTCATTGTGTAAATCGTGACTGTCTTAAACTTACTTATTCATGACTGCTTAGGCATCTTTACCCTTATATCAATTAAAAGAGAATGAGATGTTCATTACATAACTCACAAAAAAGAAAATCCTCTTCGTATTCATCTGTGTTTGTGTTAAAAGAGGCAGAGGGAGGAGAAAAGGACAAGAAAGCCTGACGGAGGGAGAGGGAATGACAGTGTGTAGGGTGAAAGACAGTTTAGTTGTGTTTTCAAGTCTGTTGTCAGTGTCTCTGTTTCTTTAGCCTTCAGAGCTCATTAGCAGTGATAGACACATTGCTACTGACAACCTCCCCCACACACTTTAGCTCTCACCTTACTTTATCCCTATCATCCCACTTTCACGATCATTTATATCTCTATCAGCAGCTCCCTGTCGCTATTATCAGTTTTTCTAAAGCCCCTCTCCTTCTCTCTTTTCATCACACTGTTTTAGTTTTAGCTCTCGCACTGCTGGAGGATCAGTCATAGTCGTGTCTCCGTGTGAGGTGTGAGGTCTTTGTGTGAGGTGAGATTTATGCGATATTGAGGTTTTCTGCATAAGTTAAATTTGCATCTTTGGATTTAAAATTGATTAATGGCATTTTGAGAGTAAAAAAAAACCCTTCCAGTCACCGGCCACTTTATTAGGTACACCTGTCCAACTGCTTGATAACACAAATTTCTAATCAGCCAATCATATGGCTGGAACTCGATGCATTAAGGCATGTCGACATGTTCAAGATGATCTGCAGCAGTTTAAATCGAGCATCAGAATAAAGAAGAAAGGTGATTTAAGTGACTGAATGTTGCATATTTGTTGGTGCCAGGCGGGCTGGTCTGAGTATTTCAGAAACTGCTGATCTACTGGCATTTTCACGCACAACCATCTCTAGGATTTACAAGGAATGGTCAGAAAAAGAGAAATTATCCAGTGAGCGGCAGTTTTGTGGGCGCTAATGCCTTGTAGATGCCAGAAGTCAGAGAAGAATAGCCAGATAGAAAGAGCTGATAGAAAGGCAACAGTGACTCAAATAAATACTCGTTACAAGCGAAGTGTGCAGAAGAGCATTTCTGAACGCACAACACGTCCAACCTTGAGGCGGATAGGATACAGCAGCAGAAGACCAGACCGGGTGCCACTCCTGTCAGCTGAGAATAGGAAATTGAGGCTACAATTCACACAGGCTCACCAAAATTGGACGATAGAACATTGGAAAAACGTCGCCTGGTCAGATGAGTCTCGATTTCTGTTGCGACATTCGGATGGTAGGGTCAGAATTTGACGTCAACAACATAAAAGCATGGATCCATCCTGCCTTGTATCAACGGTTCAGGCTTGTGGTGGTGGTGAAACAGGGTAGGGGCATATTTTCTTGTTACACCTTGGGCCCATTAGTACCAACTGAGCATCGTGTCAAGGTCACAGCCTACCTGAGTATTGTTGCTGACCATGTCCATCCCTTTATGACCACAGTGTACTCATCTTCTGATGGCTACTTCCAGCAGGATAACGCACCATGTCATAAAGCATGAATAATCTCAGACTGGTTTCTTGAACATGACAATGGGTTCACTGTACTCAAATGGCCTCCACAGTCGTTATTTCTCAATCCAATAAAGCACCTTTGGCATGTGGTGGAATGAAAGATTCACATCGTGGATGTGCAGCCGACAAATCTGCAGCAGCTGCATGATTCTCTCATGGCAATATAGAACAAAATCTCTGAGGAATATTTCCAGTACCTTGTTGAATCTATACCACAAAGGATTAAGGCAGTTCTGAAGGCAAAAGGGGGTACAACCCGGTACTAGTAAGGTGTACATAATAAAGTGTATACAGGCAATATAAAACTATAAACCGTGGCTCCTCATATGATCCTCATATCAATCTGTGCAATTTTTTTGATTTCCACATCCGAATAATGATATATGCACATAGGAGCACATCAGATATTATAAATGAAAACTCAAACATGCTTGCTTGGCCAATCAGTGTTGTCTGGAGATATGTAATTCTGGTTATATGAATCTGCAAAACATCAAAAATGTATTTGTACAAACATTTCACTGTAGTTTCTGAACATTAATAATATACATTGTTATTTTTATCACTAATTATGATTACAGGAGAAGATTATGCGTTGTAAATCAGGGGTGTCAAACTTCCTGGAGTTCTTGGAGGGCTGCAGCCTGACACAGTTTAGTTCCAACCCTGCTTCAACACACTTACTGTACCTATAAGTTTCAAACAAGCCTGAAGGACTCAATTAGTTTGATCAGGTGTTTTTAATTAGTGTTTGAACTAAACTGTGCAGAGTTTTGACACCTGTGTTGTAAATTAATAAACCTTTTTTTGGTGCAGTTGTTAGTACAAATAAGAACCTCAAAACACTTCAACGATGAGCATGTAAATCCACAAATCCACATCACATATTTATCTCCATATGGACAATTTCTCTGACATAGGCGTAGTTTGCTTTTTCTAAGTTCAGGTGTGGTGTCATAAAACCATTTTTTACTAAAGCTCAATTGTAAAAACACGGTTAAAGGTCAAGGATGCTTCAGTGTTATGCTTACTTTGATTAACACTCAGTAGGGTTAAAGTATGGTTTGTTATACAATAGTCAACATTTGAAGTGGATCAAAAAGGTTTTCAAAAATGTCAAGAATGAGTTTGTTCTAGTTTTAAGACAAGCTTGAAAAACAATTTTGATCCACTTCAAATGTTGACTACTGTAGGTGATCCATATGACATGCAACATAGGCTCATTCTGAAAATGTAGCCCTATATACGCTTCTAGAGATTGTGAATTATGTAGCCAAAAGTAAGTATGGCTGTATTTAGTTTTTAAAAGGAATGTTACGTGGCAGTATCACGCTTACCTCCATATGGACGGCTTTCTCGCTGTTGCAAGTTTGTCCAGTTAGCTCGCCATGCACGTCCGTGGCCTTGAGGTGCAGAGAGGTGATGAGCATAACGACGGGGTTTGAGTCTGGAGAAGAAGGATTCCAAAAAGCAGGTAAAACAAAAACAAAATCCAAAAAAATAAAATAAGCAAGTAAATAACAGGGTGAGAAACGTGGTAAAAATCAGGTGAGGGCTTTTCACAACAACAACAAATTTTTGCAGTTCTCGATGCACAAGAAATATTCAGGTATGATCCTTGTTCATTAAGTGGTAATCATCTTCCTTTTAAAATACTTAACATGCTTCATGAAAGTGTCATGACCAATATTCACTCACTCATTTTCCTTTGGCTTAGTTCTTGATTTATCAGGAGTCACCACAGCGGAATCGCACCAATTACTCTGGCTTATGCCTTTCCAGCCGCAACTCAGCACTGTCTGAGAGTACACAAACTTGTTAACCCCCAGGTGCTAGGAAACACCTATACATTTTCTTATTTAGACATACGTTATGATTTTGCCAAGTACGATGCAATCCTGGACTAACATCTATGTTGATCCTGGAACATCATTTTTGTTCGAAAATATAATCCATACTTATTTCCTACCCCTAAACCCAACCATAAGTGTGAATTATTCCCAAAATCAGAGGGAAATAATTAGATAACAATCATGTAGAAGTGCGCAAACCAAACCGTAAGCCTAATCTCAACATAAACAGTAAATCTCCTCTCTGGAGACTGCAAATTATGTAGCCAGAAATACGTATGGATGTATTTCGTTTTTAAAATAAATGCTACGGGTCGGTATGGCTCACCAGCTGACTGCTTACCTTCGTATGGACGGCTTTCCCGCTGTTACCAGTTTGTCCAGTGGCTCACCATGTGATGCAGAGAGGTGATAACCACAGCGACGACATCCGAGTCCAGCGAAGAACAGTTCCAGAAAGCAGGTAAAACAAAGACAGAATCCAAAAAATAAAATAAATGAGAAATTACAGGGTGAGAATGTGGTAAAACGTGGTAAAAATTATGTGAGGGCTTTTCACAACGCCAACTTTTCATAAGAATACGTATTTAAAAATTTTGCAGTTCTCGATGCACAAGAAATATTGAAGATATTGATGATTCTTGTTCATTAAGGGTTATTCATCTTCCTTTTAACAATA